TTCTTTTGTACTCAAGTTGTATGTGTGAGTTTAAGAAGTGGAGGCGTGGGTTCATTCACCAGTATCATGCAAACTCCAACGCGTAAATATTGAGTCTTGTCCTTCTCCCGACTTATCGAACCTACTCTGATAAAATTCCTGGCTTTGGGCCTGATGACACGACCCACTTGCCCACCACCAGTTCAATTTTAAGCGGATGGATGACTTGTTGACTTATAATTACAACTCTTGACTATCATGGTCTATTACGGGAACTTGATTTATGGAACTTAATGGGGATAGGACATCATGTAGGAGCTGTCACTATAGTTTACAGACACGACTCGGGATTTTTTTTTTAAGAGTAGTCGATTGTCCCCAAAATTATCACTTATTTAGAATGTATACGCACTAACGCCCTTTCGTACGTTCAAAATTAAACATAAGGAAAAGCCAGATCGATCTACTGTGCATTAAAACCGGTGGCATTGTAAACAGTTCAGTAGTGTACATGAAGCGAGTTGTGGGAAATGAAGTAGTGTGTGGAAACAATCGCTCAGCACACAAGTTGTACCGGGCATATGTATCCTCGTATTATCAGAAAACAAACCCACCCGCCTACCCACAGTGTCATATAATATTAAGCTGGTGTAGATGTGACGAGCTGTCTTAATACTGTCACTTGTAAGACTGTGCGACGTTGAGACATTTTTTATGGTATTGTAGGTGGAGAGGTCGGTTAGAACAAGTTAAAATTAAGTTTGACTTTGTTGAAGATTTATTGGGTTTATACTAAGACAAATACGGTCGTCTTTTTTCTGTAAATGTGTACTTGATTCTGGTGATTATGTGATCATTTTCATGTTCGGTGTACTATTCTAGATATTTATATTTATTTAAAGATGGTAATAATTTTCATAGTGAGTGGGCTTTGAGGGGTGTAGTGATGGGCGTTGTGGTGGGAAGGGGTGCAGTAAATGAAGGGTGTTGTGGTGGGGTGTAGTAAGTGATGGGTGCTGTGGTGCAGGCGTGTCAGTCCCCCCTCACTCTCACAACACCTTACCCTCACGCATCATATCTCATTTAAAAATGGCGGCGTTGCTTGACTTCGAAATATTTCTGGATTAGGGTAGTGCGCAGTTGCTTGCCGGGATGTGGCTGTTGTTCTTTCGCGTTAAGAAAATTAAGACAAACGACAATGTCTCTCAACCTTCCTATATTTTAGTTATAAGAACGCCTCCCTCATCTCACTCCTTAAGGAAGACGATTTTTAAACCGAACTTCAATAGGTGTGGAAAGGGTTACGCACGTGTGAAGAGGCCTCGTGACTAGGAGTACTAAGCTGCCTCCTCCAAGGTCACGGCGGGACTGGCGACAGTCGGCGCCACAAAGCCAGGGGAGTATTGATGGTTGCCTTACGCTGTACTGTAGGTGGCAGTAGTGGTGGTTGGAGGGGAGGGGGAGACGGTATCACCAAACCACGAGGAAAATTGTATTCGGCGTCTGTACACACCGACATTTGACCACTAGTATACTCATTCCTGTTTTAACTTACCTGTGCAGTATGACGAAGCTATACATTTAATGTATGTCCTTCAATACACCCGAGTGTCTCATATGAACACAAACTTGTTCTGTACATACTACAATGTGCTTATCTAAATAAACAACATTCAATTGTGTAACTTCATAACCACTTGTTACTGCCTGGACTATAATTAATATACTAAACTAATTAGTGTATGTATTATATTATAAAACTACAGATTTTCGTCATAAGTAGTCCGTCCTCACAACTTCAAGAGCTCAGGCTCTCAACTGGCTCAGCCATGTTAATATTGTTATTATTATTATTGCCTGTATATGTATTTTTCTGGCAAAATAAACTGTTTCTATATCAATAACAACTGAAGTACACCCCGTTGAGCTGAACAATTGGGGTGGAGACCAAGGATAGTGTCAGTCTGTCTTTCTAGATGACTTGTAAATGTGGTAACTTGAAGAAATAAAGTCAGATTTTCATTTAATCTGTTTTGTGGATGTAACCTAACCAGAGGTCGACGTCTGGGAGGAGATGAAAGCCCGTTTGTTTCTGATGACGAGTGACCTTTGTGTTTAACTTGTCTTGATTATTGTGTATAAAATTGAAATTGCTAAAAGCATTGATATGTCATCGTGACTTATGATGTGTATAATGCAGCCTGAAACAGTGATTATTAAAAGTGAAACATCCTCAGTACCAAATAGTGAAATTGGTAGTTATGGCATTAGTTTGTTACTGGGACCAAGAGCGTATTTTTGGTGGCAGACGTTATGTCATGTTTACTGTTCCCTGCTGGTGACCTTGATACACATGCCTCGTCTTCGCTCGACAGTATGTCGGTAAGGAGGAGGAATTTTGGGCAAGAGTAATGTTCACCTACCCAACAGCCATGGCCGTATACATGTGGCGCCAAAACAACACAAGGTACAGTAGAAGTATACCCATAAAGTTATGTTTGCAACCTACAACGTGGTTTATTTTATTATACTGTATATCAAATTACTTTTCTACAGTTAATTGTATTTTTCACCGCGTACACTGTGACTTTAGAGGTATAATTGCAAATAAAACATCCCTACCGCCCATGGTGTGTTGTATACAATACTGTCTACAAGTCACAGTGCACGTAGTGAAGAGTACAGTTATGTGTTAATCGATATAGGTTTTAAATACAATCAGGAACATAACGAGGTGCTGGAGATGTAACTTGCTCAGGGGAATAGTAGAAACCAGCACCAAGAGACAAACAACCTACATTATCACACACTACTTGTATTTACACCCCACTTGTTTTACTTAGGTTTGGCCAGGCTTAATGTAAGAAATTCCTTTCGCTATGTTCCCTCACACCCACGTCTTTCCCAGTTTCCAAAAATAAACAATCAAAATGCGGAAGTGTTGAGGTAGAGAAACGAGACTGTTGACCCGCCGGACTAATATCCTGATATGAATCCCATTTAAAACCCTCATCGTCATTGTTTACGTTGGCTAATTCACCCAACACCCACATTTCTCTTGCAAGTATATGACTGTACAGCACGAACTTAATAGGTCTTAATCCATTACATATCTCTTCACATTTTAATCCGTACTTGTATACGTGTGTGTGTATTAAACTGTATTGCCCTGTAAGGTATTGTGTACACATGCTATGCGAGCTGTCGCGTATCTGCCAACGGGTTTATCTAGTAAATGCAGTGTTTACATCACAAGGAAGAATAAAGACTGCGGTGTATATTTTGGTAGGTGTCACCTGGAGTCTGGTTGGCACAACTGGCTGTCTGGTTTTAGGTGTGAGCTGCAGTGTGCCACCTACTGATTACCATTATCGTATTTATATTCACTCTGGCGGATGACAGTTTCTCCTCCACATTGTTGTGTTAGTAGTGTACCCACCGGGCTAACACCAGAAACTACTGTACTGTAATTTATTCATACAGTTGTTGAAAGGTGCCTTGGTAGAGACGGACTCTCGTTCTCTCTATCACCACTCCTATCCTACATGAAATACCTGTTTGATATTCTTACAGTAAATTGTCATATTAAAATGGGTTGAATTCAGTGTGGAGAGATCAACAGGTGTGATACATACTTCATGCCGTTAGTAAATTGCAAGATTTCGTCCATTCATAATTCGTGTCCAGTCTATCATTTGAAGGACTCTTGTTTGCTTTTTCTAATAACGGGTTTATTATTTTCTTGGTACAGTAGATAAAGGGCGAAACAATGCCTATGTTGACAATGTATCATCTGTAATACTGTACTGGGATTTCTTATACATTGTGTTTGGGATAACTGCCAGGTGGTGGTGGGGAGGAGACTCTGTACATACTGCTGAACTTTTGAGAGTCTGAGAAGTCAATTTGAAAATAATTTAAATGAATGTTCCCAGGCGCCACCCCACCCCCCAAAATACTCCTCGGTATTTATCCTGACCCGTTGCACATTACCCTGCGAGAACTTATTACTTCAGTAAAAAAAAAAAAATAATAATGTGTCCTCGAGGTGTCCATGGCCTGATTCAATGTGGTGTCCCAGGAATGGTGAGGAAGGGGGAAGAATGTGGCTGTTGGCTGGAGTGGCAGACAGACACACCAACACAGGTAGTCAACAGAATCAGCTGTATGTGCAAAGTGTCCCTGTTGACAGGTGAACATGATGTGTTACAGGTGAGTTAACTGGCGAGTTGGTTACCCAGTATATTGTTTACCGGCAGGTAACAAATGTCACAGAGGTGTCAGACTTGTTCCATACCCTAAAATCTTATAAGAGAATCATCAAAAACGTGAAGCAAGCATGTGTGTTAGTGTTGGCAATGACTGTTACTGCTCAATTAAACCTTCGCTTGAGAATTTCGCTGTACAGGTACTAGGATTCCGACGACATATCCCAAGCTAAATAATAATATAATAAAATTCGTGTTTTTAAGTGAATTAACCCTCTTGTGGTCTTTTGATGCAAGTTGTGTCGCTAACTGCTCCATCTAAGTTCCTCCCACTATTCTTGTGGGCTGGCAGATGCATCTCTAAGGGTGCAATTGGGTCTGGATCGCTCTACCCAATATTTAATAAAACGGAAAAGCTGTTCCTGTTACCTCTGTAAGCTGTGTCAAAAGACTGCGATCGGGTGAGATTTCCGACCATGGCCAAGAGTACCAAAGGGTTAATGAGTATAGTATAGTACACTATTGTATTGCACATTGGTCAGGTATTTTTCAAGGTAAACAGCACAAGGCATGCACTAACCACAACATTCTTCCAGTCTTACCTTAAGCAGTTACAAATATTGTACTGGCTTTCTTAAAGCATATGTACGAAAATCTTTGCCGGTTATGAATGCAAGATAACTTTTAACGTTATGTGAATGGTCATTGGGAAATTCCAGTTCTGCATTGAACTAATGGGGTTCCTCGCCATTGGGAAATGTACATACATCAGTGTAATATTTGGGATTACATCTACGACTATTGATTACACAGTTTGAGATCAAGACGGAGGACACAATGGGTGGAATGAGCAACCAGTCAACTATTAACTCGCACTTTTCAAAGAAACCAAAGGTGGACCGTGCTCAGTGGATTTGACCGTATAGGAACAAAATGTGTCAGGCCAAATTTTGTCCTCTACTGAGTCTTAAAGCATTGTTATCTGCACACAGCTTCATTTCTTCATGATAATTATTGGTAACTCACATCATCTTAATGTTTAATAGAAATTTTAACTAGTTCTTGGGCTAGTAATGTTTTGATTTTCTGATAATGTACAGTATTGAAAAATAGCATTAGCTTTGTTTGTCTTGTATGTAAACTTTGTAATTCAATCATAGAAATGTATTGGTAGTAAAGGGATGTTAATAGTAATTTGTCCAATTTAGTGATGTTCATTGTTATGTAATGTGTTCTCTTGTCCCAGATGGTAGAATGTCCTCGGTAGCAGGAGGCGCCTCAGCTGACACTTCTACCACTACTGCTGTTCCTGCTTCATTTATTCCTTTGTTTGTCCCTCCTCCTCCTCGCCAATTTCCTTGGGAAAATCACAAAGTAACGAAGACATCATCAAAAGCTTCTAAATCCATCAGTTTACCTGGTATGGAGACTGCACAAAATCCTTCAGTACAAATCCATCCTCTGCCTTCATCCTCCTCACCACCACTGCCTCCACCACTTGAGTCTACGTCTCTCACATCCCCTCCGCCTCCTGACCTTCCTCCCCCTCCTGATTTTTATCCATCCTCATCTTCTCCTCCACCACCACCACCCCCACCTTCTTACCTCTTTCCTGAACTGTCATCAGAAGACCTTCCACCACCACCTCCTCCCCACCTTTTCCTGGATGTGTCGCATAAACCACCTCCTTTATACATTTGTTCCTATGATCCACCTTCCCCAGAAATTAAATCTGAATATGACCCACAGCTTCCTCCAGGCTTTTCAACACAGACTAAACATTTTCCACTTTCACCACAACCCCCTCCGGTCCCTCCACCACCACGACCTACGCCTCCACCTCCTCCGACCCCACCAGTCCGCCAGGCATCGAGAGAGAACCTTGCTATACAAACACATCCCTCAAATGGTGATAATACAATAGCTGTGTCAGAAGGAACTGCATACACAGCACCTGACGAATCTAAGGTTTCAAGAGTACCATCCAATACTACTGATGAATACTTTAAACACATTCAAGAAGGAACTTCTGATGATCGACCACCCTCAAGCATAATATCTTCATCAACACTTACTGCAACTTTTCTTCAGACACCAGAATCTGGAATGTCTCCACTACCACCACATGCCCTCAGGGTCTCACCTGTTTCCACTGACGCCATTACACCATCCTCACAGTTGACTGGAACTGATGACCTCACTATGACGCCTACATTCAGTGATCTCATTTACACGCCAAACTTTTATGACAACAGTAAAGACTCGACCCTCGACATGGATACACCTGAGGCTACACCCCAGCTCTCGGTAACTCCAGGAACGCCTTCATTTACTCCAGCAGAAGAGGCTGTCTCACCTGTGCCTACTAAAAGCCAAACTGATTATGCATTATCACCTCAGTATGGTGTAGGGAAACATGACAGTGATTCTGAATCAGAGAGGACTGATTATCTATTTTCTGAAAGATCATATCTTGAGACACTGGTTGGCTCCAACACAGCCACTACCACTACAGCTGGACAGGCACAAATTTTCTCTCCAATGTCTACTGAGCCTACATCTCTCTTCTCTCTCCCCACTGACAGTGATACAATATCTGCTGACTTTGACTCCTTTGCTGCAGATACATTGTCCCCAACAGCTGAATATGATTTCCTCTCAGCTGATGTTGAGACCTCCAGTGTTGACACACATGTAACAGCCAGTGTAGTTGGTATGAACATAACTTCCGCATCACCTGGAATCTCTGACACAGCCTATACCACAGCAGACAGTGCTCTTGGCTCAGCCACGATGTCACCAGCATTTACTGAATCTTGTACCATTACTCCTTTACCTACTGAATATGTTACACCAATGTCCACAAATCCCACAACACCTATCCCATCTCCTGTCGCTTCTTCACCTCTACCTTACTTTGATGCATATCCTTCCTCTGAATATGTAACATCAACCCTGCCCTCTAAATCTTTGTCTTTCTCCAACATGGAGACCCCCAGCACCTTGACAGTGTCAGTGATGTCATCACAGGATTACTCACCCTACTCAGAATCCAGCAGTGCAGAGAGGTTAGTCCGTTGTCAAACCTCAGACACTACGGTGGTGGTGAACTCAAAACAGAGCTCGGAAATAATGTCGCTTGTGCCTCTAACCATACCCACCTCCTCTTCACAGCACACTCTTTGTCACGATTCTAAGCAATCTGTAAATACACAAAACCAGAACACAATTTTGCGAAGCTCAGATACTGTTGAAAAAATGAAAAATAAAGATGAATCTAGGGTAAATGAAGATGAACAAAATTTATCTGAATGTAAACAAGAATTTAAGGAAAATAAACAAATTTCTGTAACTGATCAAAAAGATGACATGTCAGTTGAACATAATAAGGAAGAATCATCAGCACAAGAGCCTGGCATTAGCGAACAAAAAGATGGAGAAAAAGAACAGTCACGTGTAGAAAATGAACCCCAGGTAAAAAATTCCTGCCAGAAAATTAAGGAAGCTACGCTTGACATTGTTGACGACAAATGTGAAAAAGATACGACAATGAACCAAGAAGTAATTAATAAAACAGATGAAACAGAAATAAGTGACATCCAAGTTAAACTGAGTGAAACAATGCCCAAAGATGCCACGGGAGATCATGAAGCAATGGATGTTGATGCGAGCCAAGATACTGGTAGGACAGAGGGGAGTAATGCTATATCTGTAGCTACGCTTAAAACTGAAAAGGTTTCTCAAGAACAGGAGGTTAAGAGCAGAGATAAAATTTCCCAGAATGCATCCCAAGAACGGACTCAAGAAATTTATGAAATGATGGAAGATGTGAATGGAAATATTAGTTATGTATTGGAAGATAAGCAAGAAAAGTGTGTTGAAGTTCTTTATGAGGCAGAACAGGAGTCAAATGTAAATGGAAATACAAAAAGTGACAATCAAAATGACAATGTGGAAGATGTTTTGATAGAAAAAGAAAAGGAACCTATGGAAATAATAGATGATAAGAATATGAAAGATATTGTGAAATATACATCTGGAAAGCAGGAAGGTGAAGCTCAGAATGAAGATGGCTGTGCAATAACAAAAGAAAAGCTACCTGTCCCAACCTCACTGAGTGCTGGAAACACACCACCAAGATCTCCTGGTACAAGATGGAAGAGATCATCCCTACCATCCTCCCCAACACATTATAGTACCACTCCCAGTCAGACGTTCACAATCTCTCATGCAACTTCTTCTCTGTCATCTAAATCGAGGTCTGTTCCTTCATCTCCTCTCCCATACATGAGTGCTAGTGTGGGAGGAAGCATGTCACCCAAGAAAATGTCTCCCTCTCCAACACTCACCAGTCCATCAAGTACTGGTGTGGCCTCTCCAAAAAGAAGACCCAAGGCTATCCCACTCTCTACATCACCTAAAGAAGCCTTGCAGCTCCTGGATGCTGTAGTTGTAGATTTGGAAAACATGTCTGCTGATCTCCCAACCTCATCATACCTAAAGCAAGATAGACTATCTAATAAAGTAATTTCCTCAAAGTACTCTGATGAGAGCACAGACATAAAAAGTGGAGAAGCATTTTTACACCAACAAGACAAGATATCAGGCTTAGAATCAGAGATCAAATCAGCATCAAGTTCTGAAAATCAGGTACAAGAAGTAGCAGACAGTTCACATACAGAGGAGGTAAACCTAGAGTCCGGATCAGACTCCTGTCAAAAACATCACGTTATCATATCAACAGACAGTGAAACAGAAATCGTAGGTGCTACAGAACACACACACACGGAGAATTCTGAAGTGCATAACCAGACATGTGTGTCCTCAGTAAATATTTCTTTGATGGCTGTCCCTCATGACAATCGACACAATGTAAGACTATCACCACCACCTCCAGTTGTATCCAAACCCTCAGATGGTACTTGTTCTGTTGCTACAGTTAATTCACATTCAGATCTTACCACTCTCCCCTCTGTTAAACCTTCAAGTTCATCATCTGATAGATTATCTTCAATTAGTGAGCATAGTATTGCTAATGTCACTCTGTCTAATGCATGTAGTGATGTAAGTGTTTCATCTTTTTCATCAGAGCATTGTGTTAATAATTTAGAAGCTTCCACTAATACTGATGCCAAAGGAGTAATCCATAAAGAGACATTACCAGAAGATGAAACAATACAGAAGAATGACCTTAATACAGCTACGTCTTCTGATAAAAAACTCTTACCAGAAGAGGGTACAAAAGAGAACTCTGAAGTTGTAGATCTTGGGATACATGTTAATAAAAGTAATACTCTCACCCGGTCATCTGTAGAAAGAGTTCATGTAGATTATAACTGTAAGAGTAATCATGACAATGAAGAAGTAATCTTAGAAAATAGTTCTAGCATTAATGATACAAAACCTATTAAAAGCAGTGATTTCCCACCCTCACAGTCTTCTTCCCCACTTGGCAGCATTGTGGAAGATGTTGCTCCGCCTTCGTCAACCTCCCGCGCCAAGACTCCCCCTCTGCCTCCTCCTCGGTCTTGTGTCAACACTCCCAGACCAGCTGTTGGAGCTCCTCTGCCCCCTCCAAGGCAGTACATGCTTATCCCAATTAACCAACCTCAAAGCACACAGAGAAGATACAGTCCCCCACCTGCTCCACCTCGATCCACATCCATTCGTAAATCTTCTCCCCCACCACCACCTCCGCCTCGGTCTGCTATTCACACTCCATCAGCAAAAAATGAGTGGATTGATTTCCCTCCGCTTCCTCCACCTCCTCCAACATGCATCAACACTCCATCCACTCCTCCACCAAAGTTAACACCTGTACCAGAAGAGTCATCAACTCCCTCCACACCCCTTCCTCCCACACGACCTTCTCCAAGTAATTCCCTAGTAGGATCGTCCTCAAAGCTGCATGAAGCAAGGAAAACAGAAACTTCGTCTTACAACACTCGGTCACTAACAGCTACACTAGTAACACAAGACACATCCTCAGAACTAAAAATTTCTTGTGATGGTGATCCTCCAGCTCTTCCACCACCTCCGGAGGAAGATTTTGAAGAGGATCCACCGCCACCACCTCCTCCCCCAGTTGAATCTGAAGATGAAACAGTGCCTCCTTTACCTCTTCCTCCTCCTCCTCCTGATGCTTTATTTTGTCCTCCACCTCCACCACCCCCTCCACCCAGAGTTAAACCTACAGTTCCCCCACTTCCTTCACCTCCATTTGTCACCTATTCCTCTCCAGAATCTTCAGTAAGGAGGTCAACAGAACCATTTCCTAGCCATCATAAACTGTCTTCTAACCCTTGCAGTATTGCTCCTCCTTCAGAGTCTGAAACAATGTCAAGTGATTCGTCTGCCATGCCTCCACCAGCATCATCAGAATCGCCCACATCAGAAGTACCAAGTATCCCTCCACCACCAATGCCTTGCCTTACTTCTTCAGCAGCTTCTCCACTCGTGCTTCCTTTACCACATTCACCCACACCTCATGAATCAAAGGCTTTACTATCCACATCTCCTACTCCATTTGCTCCCTTACCCCCAAGAGCACCGTCTCCTATTGTAAGTACAACAGCAGCTCCAAAGTCACCCTTGATAACAACTACACCATATGGCAAAATGGTCATCATTCGGTCAGATTTGCCACTTCCATCACCAGAAGAAGAAATAAGATCAACATTTGCCAGTGTGAAGGACTGGGGGATGCTGTATGAGAATGTTGATACTCTTTCCATCTACACTCAACTACGCCCAGTTATTCAGCAAGGACCTCAGTAAGTACAAGAACCTTTTATAGGATCAACAGCCATGTACTGTACAGTACATCTATAAACAATTAAAGGGTTAGTAAAATAATGTTTAATAGAATGAGTAGATGATTTGCTTAAAAGTGTCAGTCAGTGGTGCCTGGGTAGGTAGTGCATGAGACTAGTTTTGAGACCATGTACAGTACGAGTGTTCCCTTGCTATATGAATGTTCGAAATACAAAAATTCACTGACCGGTATACTGTACAAAAGCTTCTCCCTCTTTTACGAATTTTGGTCCAAAATTCAGATGACAGGAGTCAGTTAGGGTGGCCACATCCCCCCGAGCCCTCTTCCTACCAGGCTGAGGTGTGAGCTATGTTATGGTTATTTTTTTAACTCATAATTTGGGGTAGATGTACTAAACTGTATTTTTTTTTTAACTCGTTTACGTGCAATACACAATCCTTAACAGATTATGCCAAACAAAATAATACTGTAATTATTGTAAGGTAAAAAAACATAGAGGGAATAAACATTTCTTTGTGGGTAAGAGCGGAAGGGGGAAGCCGGAGCCCCGTTGCTAAGGGTCGACATAAACAGTGACCCAGCTAGGCTGCTTTGCTATGGCGAGGCTCGAGGCCATGCAGCCAATGTCTATGCAGCCAATGTCTATGCAAATGGCAGCTGTGTTAAACATTTATTTAGCTTTTCCTTAATGGTTTTAGCTGCATATTTTCATCAAGATAGTATTAATGTTTTTAATGTGTTAGGTAGTAAATTACAGTACGGATGTGTACAATTTATCATCAGTTAGGTCTTTATTTTTTATTTTTTCGTGAACTGATTTCAGGTTTTGGGGATGTGATATTGGTGATTTCTTGTCATTGGGGAACTGAACCCTATTTTTCCTGTGTTCTTTTATTTGATACGAAAATTCACTTAAAGAATAGATTTTCAGAACCTAACCCATTCGTATAGCGATGGATGCCTGAACAAGTCTCGTACTGTTTTCTAATTATTGAAATGCACTTTAAAACAATTGGCATAAGCTTGTATATTTACAAAATAAGTGGTGACAGTGCTGTATAATTTTTGTTTTGTTTTAAAGTTAGGATATTTGGTCTCTTGAATATTTCTTATAATATACATACAATTGTAGGTATACTAACAAGTACATGCAACCAGTTACAAAGACAAACTTTCATCTTCTTATCTGTTAAGTGCAAATATAAATTGACACAAGCTCATCAGCGGTGAAGAGTATAAGTAAATTGAACTATATTTCATATGGACGAACGTGTATGTATACAGTGTGTTTATTTAATACTTTTCAAGTACAGTACTGTATTGTACATTATGCTTCAACATTTCTTCTCCAACAGATGTGGCATTGTAGCTCTAAGCATGGCTTCACAAGTCTTTCCCGAAACGGTAGATGTTGCAGACTTGCTCGAAGCTGCCAAGAAACAAAGCTGCTCTTGCCATGGTGAGATGTTCAGCTCTGATGCAATGTCTAAACTAGCTGAAAGTATTAACGGTATGGAGGCAACTGTGCGGAGAGACATTTTATGCAACCCCAGAAATATGCTGGAGGTTTTGATGCAGGGAGACCTGATTCTTGTGCCGTATCCTTTTTTATGCAACTACAGTATTGAGTCTGTGACTTTTTATTTTAACAGGATATGGCAGAATTTCTCAACAGGTTTATACACATGATGGTGAGTGATTCTATTACAAAAAAATGGTGTTTTACAGGGTATTAGTTAAGGGGATGTACAGAAATGACCCCACCTCCCAATTAGACACAATCAACAGGTGTATGGGGCTGGTAACTTTATTCCCTGTGTTTTAGTTGTATGAAGTGACAGTGATAAAGTAGTTAAACACCTTTGGACCTCATGGAAAGGAAACATCTTAACAGAACACTCCTACTTTATTTGTATTATTGCTAGAATATTGAAAAAAAAAATAAGAAGGAACTTGGTGAGGATACTTAAGCATGATTTTTTTTATCGGACTTTATTTGATAGTAACAACTGAAGATGGATAAAAGTATATACTGTATTGCTCTAGTCAATGAAGCATTTGAAGTACTTCTTCCTCCCATTACTTAAGTTGGCTTTCTTTAACAAGAGCTGTCAGGCAAAGGACATAAGCTAGAAATGGGGACGAGTTTAGTGACCATTACACTACCAGTCATCATCAATACCTACTACATAGCAAGTAAGGGTGTAGCAGTAAATAGTAGATGCCATGATATGTTGTACTTGACTCGGTACAATACAAATCAAAGTACAGGTACAATATTCAGTTCATTGCAATATGATTGTGTGTTTACTTGAAATGTGGCAGCTGTTTTCACTTTACCTATAACACTGTTCATTTCAATGATATGTACTTATGTTTGTCAGTATACAGTACATTATTTAATATTATTTTTCTAATTAATTCAGTATAGTGTTATTGTAAATTACATTTTTTGATAGCGTGATGATACAATATTCAAAGAAGTAAAATTCAAATTAAAGTTAATACTGTGCCTGTCTTGTTAAATTGTTTTATCTTTATAATGATTAAACAAAATATTAACTTGGCCAAACTGTGGGAACAGCTGCAACATACTATAATACAGGGTATCTATTATAATAACAGTATTTTTGCATTGAATATTGTACAGGTATATATTACAATACAGTACAGCTCTATTTAGGTCGATGTTCACCTTAGATAGCAAGTTATGCATTTCGTAAGTACCTTAATTAGTTGCATTATCATTTATGCAATTGATGAAATATTACCCTATTTCATAAAAATGCAATTTCCTTAACCAAATATTAGTTATGATGCCGAACGTAATTATATGCCAGGACTCCGGGGTGGCCACAAGGCACACTGGGGTATCATTTGTGGTTGTCTAGTCCAGTGCCAGTCCCTCAATATACATATGGGTGGAGCATCTAAGTTAGATTCTCATGTTGACCATCTGTGGCATCTCCGTCCAAGAAGCAAAGTGGGAGTTACATATTCGGCCAAGAACAGAGATGGCAGTGTGACACCTAGCACACCAGTTGTACCTGGATCTCCAATTATAAGACGTAGACCTTTAAGAACACCAGAACTACCAGCTGCTTCCCCAATTAATGAGGATTTCAAAATCTCGGAAACATCACGTCGAGAAGGTTCTTTGAGCAGAGGTTCAGAAATGGATACTTGGAGTATCAACAACAGTCGAGTAAATACACCAATGTTACCCGACTTTCTACAAGATGAAATTAAACTGGTAGCTTTATGGAGGCAAGGTAAGAGTAGAAAATTAGTTGCAGCTCCCTTGGAACAGTTATGTGAAAGCAATGACCAACTTTTAGAATACCCACCAGCTTCCACACCATCAGAACTGGAATATATCATTGGTTCTGTACAAGATGGTCTTGCTGGTCAAGTTGTTGTGTTGCATAAAACTAAAACAGCACTATCAGACTTAGTAGGAATACTTCAGGAGAAAAAATCTTGTTAATCTGGACTTAAGTTACCATTTCAAGTTTAGTAAATAAAAAGAATATCAAAATTACAAGATTAAAATTATCAGGACTTTTTCCAATTATTAAAAATAAGTGATTCATATTACAGTACTAATTTAAAAAATACTTGTACCAAGAATTTGTCTGGGACTGTAATTCTGTTCACAGAACAAATTTATTACTTTGATCAGTGCCACTTAAAAGCTACTGTATTATGAGATTGGCATCCTATCTATAATCAGTTATTCTTGAGACCATTGGATTGAAATATAGGCAGTAGGGCAATTTTTATTAAAAATGAATCTTGTGGCATTCATGAATACAGTACAGTATATATAATTTTTTTGTTTAGCTTCTGAGTATGTATTTAGTGCTAGCTGAAATGTAAGATTATTTTATTCTTCCAAGGAATCCTAAGTGTTTGATACTTAAAATATACTCATATTCACTCATTTCAGTAAATATTACTGAATATTTATAACTGTAAACCACTTGCTCTCTTATGTACTGAAAAAGTTACAGTATTCTCAAGAGTCAGTAACACAAAATTGTATGCATCCATGAAATTAAATATCTAGCAAAACTTATGGCATTTATAATCAAATGATTGTATATTCTTTATGCATTTCCACAGTTTTCAAGATAGAACTGAAATTTGGTAGGAAGGCGGCCTAGGAGATGGGTAAAGCTGGGCAACTCGCCAAGTTTAATGGATACAGCATTTTTGGGCCCAAAAGAACACTTTTTTTCAGTTGGCAGTGATGTATGAAAGCCAATAAATGACATTTTGCAACCTGAATTGACAGTTGCAAAACATGAATGGACATATATTACAACAAATGACATAGGAGACATACTGTACTTTGAGTTCAAGCGTTCACTATGTTGAGAGCCTGAGTGAATGTTCGAATTCAAAGTCTATGTCTCCTATGTCGTTTGTTGCTATATTTGTCAGTTCATGTTTTACAACTGTCGATTCAGGTTGCAAAATGTCATTCATTGGCCTTTGTAAATCACCACAAAATGAAAAACTGTCAATTCAGACAAAAATATAAATAAAATGCTGCATTTCCCATAAATTCATATATTGAACATTGGGTTTGCTAAAAGAATGTTAACAGGACATTTACCTTTTTCATAGCATTTATTTTGGCTAAATATATATGTAATATACGTAGTAAATATTTGTCATATAGCATTATGGTTCATGTTGAAAAAATGGGTGGTATGTAAAACACAGGTTTAACCTGGCATTTATTCTGTAATGTAACTGCCATTGGCCTTGTTCACATAGAATGTCCACTACAAAGAAAAACACAGATTTAAATATCAGGCTCATCCTCCACATGTCTCCTCCTGATTAACATTAATATGTACCATCTCACTGCTTTTGAAAGACATAGGAATCCTTCATGATGATTGATCACTTGGGTTGCTGGTTTTATGTGTGCTGCTTCTACTGTACATCATCAACATATCTATATCAAGATGCACCTCTTGCTATTATCCCACTTGCCGTTACACTCAAAAGTTATCCATATACTTGTAGAGGCAAGCCAAGAGGTGCATTTAGGTATAGATACATTGAAGACGTGCAGCAGGAGAGAGCAGTACAAAAACCAATAATCCTAGCGATCAATCATTATGAAGGAATATATCTTTCAAAAGCAGTGAGAAGGTATATATTAATGTTAATCAAAACCCAGAAGGATGAACCTGATATTTAAACCTGTGTTCCTCTTTGTAGTAGACATTCTATGTCAGGCAAGGGCAGACTAAAATAAACTCCAGCTCAATATACATATATATAACATTACATTATAAACAAACAATACAATGTAAAGTGGATATGAATAAATTATATGCAAGTCAAAGGACATGTGTATATAAACATAAGAGGCTTGCCTTCACAATAATGAAATTGCATTTTCTCTACATACATTACAGTGAAATATACACTAGCAGTAAGGGCAATGTACAGTTGCCAGCAGAAGTCCTCCCACAGCTCTGTTATGGGAGAACTTTTGCTGGCAACTGTACATGAAAGAGTTTATTTGTCAGAACATGATACAGGCTCATGTGAAGTGATGGGTTGGAACTTTTTAGGGAAGTACCATTTAAGAATATGTCTTTAACAGCAGTAAGAAATAGTGAATGACAACATTTGGGGAAAATACCTTCATGTATGTAAGTATATGTATATCTATGCACCAGGGCCTGCAGGTGCCAAGGCATATGGGCCTGCATGGGCCAGGGGCTGTACTCTATTAAGCATGCATGCTGAAGCCATTAACCATGCATACATATGGATTCAGCCATAAGATCCAGTAATAGACTCCACTATTGACCATATGGTCAGATGGACCTTGCTAGACTCAGTGTAGCTGAGCATCCCAGCCAATATACTGTGTACTCTTGTGTTTGTTATTACATCATTTTGTTTGAAGCCTCTCATTGGCACATTTGCCATCTAGAATTTGTGTGACTGGACCTTCACAAATAGTAAAGGAGTATCCCTGATATTAACCAATAACACTGGTGGTAACTGGAGCGTTCTATTCATTGTCGACACCTGTACAGGCACACCAAAGTTTATTGATATATTCTATAAATTACTATTTTCAAAATACAAACTTATAAGTTCTTTACAAAACTCAGCTACCAATATGTAGGGTATAAATTTATATGAAAGTACTGTACTTGTGGGTTTGTAAACATTATCACCGAGAAGGTGTCTTATCTGCAATATGTGTGTTATATTTCCACCTTTATGACAGGCTAGCATAAAGAAGTGCAAACAATAATTTAATTTCTATTTACTATACAATAGTCATTACAGATATCCCCTCGTTTAACGATCAGGATGTGCTCAGGGAAACCAATCATGAAGCGAAATGGTCGCTAAAACAAGGTATAATGAGAAATATCCTAAACGAGGAATACTATCTGTAGATAATGGCACGTAATTGTGTAGTGAATCGCCAATTCTCCACCCAGTGTACCAGAGTGAAGCTGATCTGTGAAAGGTTGCTCAACTTGTAGTTAGCAACACAGCTAGCTAGGAAGAAGAGCGGCTCTTCCAGCTGTTTGCTGTCTCGTGATGAAACGATTGCTAAATGGCAAAACGAGGGAAAATATGTACAATTTGCTATAATAATACACTACAGTACACAAAAATAAAGAACTAACCAAGTCCACATCAAGAAGCAGACAGTAAAGTCACCATGTGTCCTCTCTCAGGCTGGCACATCACTCAGACGTGGAAATGAGGCTGGAGAGTCTGCATTGTCTTGGGTGGGTGGCAGGATGAGAGCTTTAGGCTTGAAGAGGGTGACGCCTGATAGGTGCGGGAGTGATGACTGTGGCGTCTTTGGCTTGAAGAACTTGGTGATAGGCACCCAACATTATCACAAAATTACCACTTTACAAATTATCACATTAGTACCGGGTTTATGAACAGTCTGTATAGTACTCAATATCCCATAAAAGTTGCAACAAAAACAGCAATGCACAGCAATTGATAATGTATTTAGTAATATCAGCGCAACACGGAAGACAACGATCAAATGATAGGTGGTAAACACTTAGTAGTACATGGCACGCGGGTAGTGTAAAGAAATGTCAGTAGAGATGCACACGACTTCCCGGTTATTTCACCTTCCCTCTTGAATTTTCCCCAGTGAGTCAAAGATTGTTAAACCGAAAATTTACAATCGTTAAGTGAGAAAGGTGTTAAAAATTTTTAATTGCCAAGTGAACGATTGTTAAACGAGGGATACCTGTACCATATAAGATGTGCCTTTGATGGTTGAGAATGAAGTGTGAAATCTTTATCTACTGTTATTATTTCTGTATACCTGGAGGAGGGGGGGGGGGTGGCCCTCCCATTAAGGGACTGGCTGAGTGAATTAGTCCAGTATTGGAAGGGTTTACTGTACAGACATGTGGGCATAAATAAATACCTACAGAGTAAGTGTCACTATATGCATCTAGATAACTACTAACAGATCATCCTCCTGCTCCTTTATGACACATCTACTCTGAAACTTACATGTAAAAACCCATAAAAAATAATTATCTTCTACCTTACTAAAAAAATATGAAATCAATTAATAAAATTTCTTAATTTCAGAAAATTTTAATTAAACTATGCATAATTATGTCGAAGACAGTACTGTACTGTAGTTGGGATAATTTGTAAATCAGTCTGCTAACAAATGACCAAGAAGAAATACAGTACATACCACCACACTTACATACTCAAGAAGAAAGAGCAGCAAGGCGACCAGGGGCCCCCATTACTCCTCCTCCTGGGTGTGCTCCAGAACCACACAACAAGAGGCCATCAATGGGTGTGAAAGGACTTGGCTGTGTGGGTGATGGTCGTGATATGAACAACTGATCCAGTGACATACTACCATGGAAAATATTCTGGAAAAAAAAATACTGTATATAATTCTGTATAAATAGTTTTCTTAAACTAACAACATTGTATCTTACATAAATGCAGATACTGTATAAGGTAGGGTAATAAAGGCAAATTTGGAACCAATTGCTGAGACATGCTAGTTGCACAGTGCCTCCACTGAAATGGTCAGATTTCTGAGAACTATACAACCCCAACTCAGGGAGCAATTACTTGGCTAAATATGCTATACATCATAATATCTTGTGGGTTTGCAATGAAAATTTATATATTTTTGATAAAGTGTACAGGGGGAAATATTTGTATTTATCTTATGTAAGGTCTGGTGCAGCTTTAAAATGTGTGTTAAGGTGAACATATCACTCCAGTTACCACTAGTGTATATATTTATACAGTATTTAAATATATATTCTAAACGGGTTTAATTATTTTAGAGGTCATTAATTAATGCTAATTACTTAACAATTTAAATTCTCAATCCATATCCTTCATTGGTATGTAAAAGAGTACCTTTTGTATGAAATTGTTTAACAAAATCTATGTAATGACCTCAACTGCCAAAATGCAAGGTAATAAGTCAGGCATTTCTGGGACAACTTAGGATTCTAGTGAAAACTAACATGCTTAAATGGTAAGTTAGTTCATATTGTTGATAAAATATACCTATACTGGATAGCTAAAGGGGATTTAAAACTTACAGGCACATTGTAATGACATTTTAAATACTGTATTAGCCATTGCACTCCAGACAAATTTATGTAAAATACAGGTCCTCACCTAAGGCAAGTCTTTGGGAATCTACCTATACTGTACAAGCAAAATTATTTGTGGTATTAATCTATCCAGCACAAAGAAAAACCCACCGACTAACATGGTACCTATTCCAAATTTGGAGAGCAACAAACCCCACAAAGCCTGGTACTCTCCTCCCTGGCTAAGTAATGCACAATACATTATATAAACCAGCATAATAACTTGGCTACATTATGTACAATAACCCGGTCAAATTAGGCTAACGATATGTAAACTAGGTTAATCCACATGGATCCTCTCCTAGATCATTTGATCAAGGAGTGTGAGGTAACATGACAGCCTCTTTCTCATCTATTGGTTCTTTTATACAGTAACTTGGCATATCAAGAGACTAAACTAGGTATACTCTAAAAATGATTTAAATGGGAAGAGAACACTGCCACAAATTAAGTAATATTCTTACCCCTCCAGTTAGCCCAAACACTCGCTCCAGTTCTGGTGGTGGCAACACTTCATATCCAATTATGCTCTCTTTGAAGCCTGGTGCATATTCCTCCACTATATTAAAAATCTGTAAGTTAAAGCCCAAATAATATTACAGAGTATAACAAGTAAAAACAGGTATCTTTTATATTTCATAACAGCCATAATTTTGATAACGTGTTTCATTTATTCTTGGCTGAATCACTGCAATATATTTATCAACTTATTACTTGTGCAGCGTAAGAACCCATAGAGAGACCAGACCAGATATTCAATACTAACAGAACTATCCAGTATAAATAAATACAGTATCCTGGCAAATCACAATCAAAATTGCAATAGATCTTGGGATTTTTTTTTGCTTCGCCTCCTATTTTTCTGGTGACCCTGCAACTGCTATGAACCATATTACTAAGTTAAACAAATTATGTACAGCTGAATACATCCTCCACAATATCCCCAACAAAGAAAAAATTCTCCTTAGATTCAAACTTGTGACTGACCAGGGCTGTGGAGTCGGTA